CATGGTATGGAAGCAGCAGTTCGACCATGGAAACCCTTCCTATGAAGCTCTCTGCTTATCTGCTGATCTGAAGGCCACATGAAGTCTCGAGGTGTGTAACGACTGAAGAAAGTTGGTGACCCCTTCACACTATATGAGCTTCAGCATCCACTGAACCCGCTACATCAGTTTACGAGGTCTACCTCCTCATGGCTGAGTTGCTGTCATTCCCAAACACTCCCATCTTCTTATGATACAGCTGACAGTTGACTGTGGAATATTTCGGAGTGAGGGAATTTCATGGCTGGATTCGTAGCACAGCTGGCATCCCATCCCACATCCTTATCACAGTTCCACCCTGGAATCCACCGAGCTGCTGAGAGCAATCTATTCTTTTACAAATGTTTGTAACAACAAACAGGTTTTTGATTTTATACATCTGTAGCCATGGAAGTTATTGGAAAACCTGTTTCCAATCACTTGGATGGGTGAGCAAATACTTTGGCATTAAAGTGTATGAATCAAAGTAGCATAATTATATATAGGAACTGTATACGAAAGGGAGTAAAGGAAAGTGATGAATAAACGACAGTGTTTCGGTTTTCTTGACCTGAGTCACAAATAAATGGGTCCAATCTAGGATGATTTTTGGAGAATCACTGAAAGGGCCCCTCTACACATCTCTATCCGCTTTAAGCCTGTAGGAACACACCATCAGTCCCTCACCACCACTGTAGGATCAATATACCGTAACAGAGTTACTATGACAACGTCCTATCTCTCTCTCTCCTCAGCAGACACAGCTTAACAAACTGAAGTGGTGGGAGGAGAAAAGGGGCACATAGCCCCACACCCCCACGTCGTACACAGACAGCCACTGCATGGCAGTTTCTCTTTGATGCTGATGTAAAGAGACGGCTACACTGGAAATCTCTCATCCTCCTCCTCTTTCCTCCACATGGGATGCTACTCTGGTCCTCGTTGATTCATAATTTAGTTCCATGGTCAAATAATAACACCCTAATCTTCGTAATAACATTGAAAACAAAAGAAATGTTTTGGTTTCAGTGGCTGGTGAATCTTTTAGTTCGATTCAGTGGGAAAAAGCAATAACTGCAGGAGTACCCCCACCCTGTCAAACAGAGCTGCAGCATTAAGGTCAGCCAGCATTCCCAGTCAAAAGCTAAGAAGATTAGTTGTGGGGGAATGTGACAATGTTTAAAAATAGCCTCTTCTACATGCCTGGCTGATTCTCTAGTTCTACCTTGCAGGGAAAAAAAAACAAAAAAAACATGGACCAGCCTCACACTGTCAACTGTACCGACTGTGGGGGTGAAAGTGTCAGAGACACAAAATATTTACTTGTGATGTCCCTTTGCATCAATGTGTAACCAAAAATCTATCCGTATATGCAGATTTAAAGGACAATCTTCTGGGTGGATCATCAAAATAAGTGGTCCTCCGAATTGTCAATCATCCTGGTGATATGTTTACGTAAGGCCTTCCTACGTGCTCGTCCCGTTAGCTATCTTATTCTGCGCATGCGCACTTTCAGGCATTTATCTGTGGTGAGCCACAGTTTCAGATAGTCATTGAAGCTCACTGCGGTTCTTTGAAAAAAATTGTCTACAAAGTGTATGAGAAGAAAAGAAATGCCTCAGAAGAGGCAATTATTTCCCGAAATGCTTTGCACAGAGCTGTCCTCACAAAGCATTATGGGATTTGCTGTAGCGGCGGCCCACTGTCGCCATAGGCTGTTGCTACAGCGGCGGCGACTAACAACAAAGATAACGCAGACACCGCGCAGGGGAAGAGTAACGTGCCAACGGGGAGCACAAAACAGTGATCATCTGTCCAAACGGTAAGTTAACGGAGTTATTTTTAAGTCCACTATATAGTCCCCGCTCTATATAGTGATTGAGGGATTTAGGGGTTGGGGTGGTCGTTCAGACACAATATGCTTGTACGAGCTATGATAACAGCAACTTTAAACAGAGCGTGCAGCGAGGAGAAATGGGCTCATGCATGCTCTTGCACGCATTTAATAGGCGCTATTTCTTCGGAGCCTGTGTATTTAATAATATAGACATAAATAAACATAAAATTGGAGTTTCCCAGGCTTATACTGACTACCGATTTAAGTTTGAGGTCTGACTTGTACATTACAGCTTATTTCAATTCTGACTGTTTTCTTTTGGGGGTTTTTTTCTCTCTGTCTAACAACTGTAAAACATAATATAAGAAATTTAATGTGCTAAAAGTTTGCTGACTCGTTGGTTAGAAATTCAGACCATAAGTTGAGGACAACTGTTTGTTTTTGACCATCTAAAACATATTTCTTGAACGAAATTTACGCTACAAAAGGTATCACACAAGGTCACAGCAGATAATTCCTCTAGCGATTTCACATTTAAAGCAAAAAGCAACCAGTTTATGCAAACTAATACGCTTTGCTCTGCATTTCAAAGTCAACAATGTTTCAACTGCTATTCGCTCAAACATAAGGCATGACTCCTGAATATTCTGACAAAATATAATCTAACAGTTTGGCCCTTTCCTCTTTCACAGAGACTTTGGCATGATTGGGGTAGATAAAGCCAACCAGTAAAACATAAAAATAAAAATCCATCTCTATATATATAGTATTTCTGACATAAAAATATTTTCAGTGTTTTTGTAAAGCGAACTTAAGGCGAAATCTTACAGAACTAAAATAAAACACTAGAAACCGCAGTGGTGCAATTTTAAGGAAGGGGAGTTACATCTAAGTCACAGAGGTTTATTTTATTCCTAAGTGAACTTTGTTCAACGTTCGATATGACGAGGACCATCTATTCATCCTATGGTTGGGGAAGTTAGAGTCTATGAGTACGCAGGTGGCTGGTCAGGCCAATCTGTGCACGGAAAAGTCTTGGGCAATACGGACAGGGAATGGTGGCGTCTGGTGCAGGATTGGCAGCTCTGATCTTCCTAGCTTGCCTACGCTCTACAGCCATAGCGATCCGGTTTGCCTCGCAAGCTTTGGCACCTTTTTGGAAGTGAACTATTTAGATCATGTCATACAGTTTTATCTCAAGGCTTTGTGTAAATACAGACAAACACACAACACTAATATTGTGAGAACCTAATACAAAGTATTATACTTACCAGAAGATATCCTGAAAAGTACTTCATATTTAGGGTTGCATTGCTAAAAGAATGGCTAATACTGTAAAGACTGTTTTGGATGCAAACATTAGCTTGACTTAATTCTTATTTTTTCTTCAAACAGCATGCTGTTTACTGAAAAGAGCTGATAAAGACTCTCTGGGTTTGCAACACTTTTCAACCAGAGAAGGAATAAAGGCAAAGCTCAGAAAGGACTGGAGCACAAAAGCTCCCCCCACCACTATTTGTTGTAAACAGAAAGTAAATCTGAATAAACCTAACAAACATCATAGACTAAATTTTACACAATTTACATCTGTATCTACAATAAATCAGGGCTACCCAACATCAGAGATATGGTGCTCTGCAAGAATTATACATTATATTTTAGACTTAATTTTTCAGACTTATATTTTTTTTGTCCTCTTCCAGCTAGATATCCACCATCAACTGTGGTATTGGTCAATGTAGGTCATTCTATATATTGGTATCTCTATATATATTGGTATCTGATAAGTAAGATTAGCTCGATATAAACAACTGATATTTATTTCCATTCCATCTAGATGATGTTTTATTTCAGGAAGGTGAGGGGTTTGATCATATATATATATTTATATATATATATATATATATATATATATATATATATATATATATATATATATATATATATATATATATATATATATATATATATATATATATATATATATATACACACAGGGACAAAGCAAAGGATTGTAGATGTGAAAGTGAAGAAGATGAGCAATGTCTGAGTTGTAGTTATCTATTTGTTTTGTTTTTTTAATGGTGTCCAAAGGTTACAGAAATATATAAAATCCATTAATGTCAGTTATTGGCCCAGATTTTGACTTTGCTGCATTTAGGGTAGCTCAACCATCTGAGCTGTCTGCAGCTCTAAAATTTATACTAATAGCTGTTTTTTGAGAAGCACTGAACTTGTTTTTCACTTTGAGTGTGTGAATGCAAGTTTCTGCCATGCTGTTTCTACTTTCAGAATCTGATCAACTTTCTGAAACATTCTGTTTCACTTCTACACATCTTTATCCCTGACCTGTGTGGTGTTTCCCTTGATCTACATCAGGGGTCTGAAACTCCATTCTATGAGTGCCTCCGTTCTGGAAGTTTTGGATGAGTTACTGCTACAAAAAGGTGAAAAATCTCTTAGCATTTCAGAAAGTATCCCAAATATGTGGCCATTAAATGTTTGATTGTAGTTTGATGGAGCAAATATGCGTAAAAAAGAGGCACTAAGAACTAGAGTTGTCCTGTGGACCCCTGGTCCACATGATGCTCTTTGCTCTACCATAGACCTATGAGGCATTTGCAAAACTGCTACATTCACACTGAGAATACACCTCATACTTTCAAAGATACTAACAATTCAAACTCGATATTGATACTCAGAAAATTATTGGATAGCCGATACCATTTTCCATACCATGGGAATAAAAAAATGTCAATTGATTAAAGGCATAAAAAGCATTAAAAACTAACCTTCTTCAATTTTAACATGGGAAGTTCATAAATAGTTCTCTTAATTAAAAAATTGCACAAATAAAAGTAAAATAAATAACCACATTTTACAAGATTTTGAGGTATTATTCTTTAAAGGTGCAAATAATCTGAAGAACTAAAATTAGCAACAGCAAAAATATGCAAACTACAATTATATTTAACATTTTTACCATTTCAAATTAATATTGTATCCGGATACAGCTTTTCGAGTATCAATACTTTTCTGAGTGTCAATACTTCAAAAAACCCGAGTGGAGATTAGGAAAATCCAACTATATAGACTCCAGAAAAACCTTAAGCCCAGATAAACAACAACAACTGTATAACCGTACCAACAGGTTTCGGCTCCTGGGGCCTGTTTCAGAAAGGAGGTTAAGTGAAAACTCTGAGTTTGTTAACGCTGAAATGAGGGAAACTCTGGGTTTTCTGTTTCAGAAAGGGAGGTAAGTTAAACCTGAGAAAGCAGAGTAAGTCAAGCCCGTTTCTGAAAGAGAGGTAACTTATACTCAGAGTCAGTTACCATGTGAATTTACTCTGTGAACCTAACCTGGTCGGGAGCAGGTTTTCTTCAGAAAATCCAGAGTTTATTTTGGTCTCCTCCCCTTTTTTAAAGAGGAAGTGGTGTTTAAACACCTCATTGATTCTTTGGGGACATACAGTATTCATTGCACACATTTCAGTCACGTAGAGCGCATCAAAGGGAATGAAATGGCATGTCCTTTTATGGATGATCCTGTTTGTAAAGCCAGGTAGCTACTCTACTCCCATGATGTGCTCAAGGCTTACCTGCTTGAAGTATGTTTTTATATTTCATTTTCAGCTGCTACCATGTTCTTTTGATGCCTGCAGGATTGCACCTATCCATGAAAACTAAATTAGGTTTAATAAAATACTGTTCTTCCAGTTTCACCTCTGATATTATAACAGTTGGGTAAGTTACTCTAAAATAGTTCTTAATTACTAACTACAAATTTTATCTTCAACAAGTCTAATTAGATTAATGTAATAATTACTGTCTCTAGAAAGTATTGGTCTACTTACTAGTTTGTTTTACTTACTTATTAATTACTTTCTAAATCCCAAATCAACCTCAACCACTTGAACAATACAAGGAGAGACAAGAAACTGCACTTCTAATGCTTTCAAATAAACAATATTCAATTGCATGAATTAATCTTACAGTAAATTGACCAAAGTGTGTAACTAGAGGGAGAAAGTTCAAATCAAAATATACCTTTTAAAATTTGATATTAAATCCACTATTGTTTTATAGTCTTTAATTTAATTACAGTATTTATATGACTTAAGTAACTTAATTCATTACACCCAACACTGTATAAAAGTAATTAAAATGTAAACTTACGCATTGACTCGAGCAGCTATTTTCACCCAAGCTAACTCTCTCTCCTTTGCCGCTGCAGCCGTGTTGCTTTTTTTTTTTAAATACATGTTCAAATTCTGCATATGCTTGCATAAGCACACCCAGTTCTGCTGGTGAGAAATATGCACACCTTTTTTTGTCTGACGCTGTTGCCATGGTGACTCGTAATATCTGTGCTCCATTCATAATGGCTTTTTATAGTTGTGGTGCACACGCTTAACTCAGAGTCAGTCAATTTAGAGTTGATTGAACTAACTAATTTCAGCTGTTCTGAAACCCAAAACTCAGAGTTTCCAATCTCAGGATAAGTCAACTCCGAGTTCAAGTTTTAACTCAGAGTTGGTTGAACTTCCTTATTGAAACAGGCCCCTGGCCTTCATCGGGGTCTTGACATAACAGCTGAGAAAAATCTGAGTGGAAAAAGTGCCGAACAGAAAAATCAAAACAATAAATCCCGAAATTATAAACAGATAGACTGACCAAAGAGCACCATGGATGTGGGGCTCAATTCCTAGAAATTCTGAGAAAATGGAAGTAAAAACAGCAATCATTAAAAGGTGATGTTTTGTTGTGACTCTGGGGAAAGTGTTAAAAATGAAAATCATGTATCCTGTAGCTATCAGTAAACTACTATGATGACTTTGTCTATAATCTCAATGTAATCCAATAACCCTTATCTAGTGATAAAGAAATATGCATCACTGCACAAACCGGTTTGTTCACCTGGATCCAAACAAGACATAGACATTTTTTAGGGAAACTGCAATGTTTTAAAGGTGCTTACAGAAAGAATTATAGCATAAACATGTATAAAAGTAGAGCACCATAAAGCATGACATAAAAAAATGGAACACATATTTTTATTTAAAGAATGTTTGAAACATAGAAAGAGCAGAAACCAACTGGCATCGAGTGGAAATAGAAGCTGAGCACTAGACGACCCCCCCAAGCACAAGCAGAGCAGGCCAGTAAAGCAAGAGAAAAGTTCAGGAGGAAATGATGGTTTCAACAGCACTGTGTACACACCTTGGCATTAATATAGGGGTCAAAGGGCCCACAGCGTTTGAACTCTTTATGGTCTACAGAGCTCTGCAAGGGAGGAAAAGAAGATAGGTGGATGGTTTCGGTTCAGACAAGCAATTAATGAATGAGGAATCATCACAAATGAGTCAAACTGAACAAAAAGGAGTAAAAAAAAGGATCAAGTTAATGAATAACTGGATGTCATGAACAGGCAGGGAGAAATGGCACAAAATGAGTCATCAAGTAAAGTCATCATCAGAGTGAACTTAATGATGGTTAAGCTGAATGTGGCAGTTTAATGAAAATAACCATGATTATCTTTTTTTCCTCATAATGTGCCATTTTTCTCTTGTGTTTCAAAACAGGACAGGCCAAAGAAATGGTCTCTGCACATTAAGCAGTCAAAAAAAAAAAAAAAAAAAAGAGAATGACAAGAGTTAAAACTGTTAGCGGAAATGACGACTTCTCCCACTTGGCACAGCACTTCAAGCACTTTCACATTATCAATGGGGAAGTCGGCATCATAATGCACTGAGGTCAATGCACTGTGGTCACATTCGCTTTAACATTAATCTTGTTTGGATCCCAGCCATGCTATGCGCAGCTGCTCAGGTCAGAACAAGGCTCGTTTTCACAGCTCCGTGTGATCGCTTTCTGAAACTTTACTTTGTCATTCTGGCAACCTTCTGGTGTCATTTCTAAAGAAAACAAGCTGCTAAGTTCCTGACACACATTAAACTGTCCTCAGACCAAACGGAAAGGTCTGAGATTCTAATTCCCGAAATGTTGCTTACATCTAAGATTATCTCATTTCTATTTCCAAACAGACAAACATCTCTGTAAATAAAAAAACAGAACTGTAAATGTGAGTAGACTTAAAAACACAAGCACGCAGCTGTGGCAGACCTGCTCGTTGATTTGGGGGTTTGAGCGTCCTTGGTGGATGAGGAGCCTCACGATGTGCTGGTCTCCCTTCCATGCGGCCAGGTGGAGCGGGTAGCAGCCCTTATTGTCGGCGATGTTGGTCAAAGCCTCGTTCCGCAGCAGGGCTTCCACCACGGCGCTGCAGGGAAGATGAAGCCCCAGCAGGATCAGGACCTTTATGAAACGCACTAATCAACGAGCACAGACAATCTATACCTTAATGCCCCTTGAGGGACCGCTGCCTGCTCAGACAAAGAGCACAAACACCGAGGCCAAAGCAGCCGCATTCTAGCAGCATGTTTGCTCATCAACACCGTTGCTACATCAACAAATTACGTTAATGTATTAATGGTTTATAGTGGTTTACTGCTAAACCACCATAGCTTTGCTGTTTTCATCATAAAAAATATTTTATGATGAACAGCAAAAATAATAAATACAAAAAAAACAGAGACCCTCATAAGCCAGCCTAGCCATGGGTAGGCTACATATATTAACCAGACAATGATGAAATTAAGTTTAAACAATGGTGAATGTGTTCTAAAAAGCAAATGAGTGACATTTGGATGTGGTTAAAAAAAGAAAGCAATCAACAACAAGAATAACAACTTTTGGCCCAACATTTGGAATTATGAGTTAAACCCCATTAAGCTTAGGGGGAAGTCTCCTTTCCCACCATTTATTATCCCTACAACCCAGTGCTATCCCTTATGTATTGCTGAGATGAGTGGCTCTACAGATCAGCTTTTTCAGACACATTTTAAAGAACAATTTACATAGAAATACAGATATAATGTTAAAAAAACATGCAAGAGTTGAAAATATTTTTTTCTCAAGCCTTCCTGTATGTGATCAGTCAATTGGTCTTAAAGGCAGAAGAAACAAAGAGCTTTCCTTACTAGAGTTGGCATCTTCAGCCCTCTTAAACATTTAACATTGCCAATTAGCACAATCAGGACTTTTAAAAGGCTGCCAGAATTTTCAGATCCAACATGTTTTACACCAGAGAGTATAAATTGAAAGTTATAAACGCCAAAATGTGATTTTGACCTAATTTTTAAAATGCCTGACAATAGAAAATGAGAATTAGATGCGTTTCCATACACTGGAGCGAGTTGATTAGGTGACGCAAAGCGTAATGTCATCATATGCTTACCGGTACATAACCCTTGGCTGTAACCAACGAAAAAAATAGACGTAAATAGTGACTGCCTAAGAACTTAATTGACAATTTGTGTTTCTATGTCCTCTTATATAGGGTTACTTTATTCAAAAAACCACCTCAGGCGCACAATCACATTTTCCTGCAAAATAAAGTCATTTAAAATAAATTTTACCATTTCCATTAAGCTCTTTAATGCGATATATGAAACCACACATAAACGTTGATAGGAACAGGTCTAAAAAAACTTTCCTGTAAAACATTAAGCCTTCATGCTCCGACTTCAAGTAGCTCCCTGAATGTGTATGAAGAAAATGTAGCTGCCTTTTAAGTAGTGTTTTCCACTTCTACACTTCTTCTGGACTTAATCTTAATCCACTTCATTGATAAAGAACATTTCTATTTGAGTCTCTGTAACTCAGTAACAAAATCTACACTAAAGGCTGCTGTTGTTCCTTCAACTCGTTAGAGCCTTTATGTTGCCTTAACTGATCCAAAAAAGATCAGATTTTCTAGTTTCCGACCAGTTGGTCAATGAGTCCCAGAATCTAAAAGCCTTTATTATCACTGCACATTGAAAATGCACCATAACATTGTATGGTGCCACAGAAGGAATGCTTAAATCAAAAATACACAAAGAAAAAAGAACACAAAAACAGCTAATAGAGTTTTAAACAGGCAGTAACATAATTGTTTAAACTATGACTACAGTGAATTTGTATGTGCATATTAGGATATTTAGTTTGTGTTCTAACAAATTTGGTATATTTATTCCATATAAAGTAAGTTCCTCTGTATTCTAATGTTTGCTAAAGGGTGCAAAGATGTAGTTTGTGTTTACATAAAGGAATCAGCATAAAATGAGGGAGCATCAGCTTCCTATTGGGGTGACCAATAGCAGTCTAATAAGGAATAAAGGAGGAATTAGAATGACTGACTTTAGGTAACAAAGTATCCAACCTAAATGACCCCATTTCCCTTGTTTATCAAATACATGCAATGTGAAAAATATTATTTAAAAACATTCAGTACAAAATACCAAGCTTGCTGTTATTTATCTCTGATGTACCTGTGTCCATTGAGGGCAGCATGGTGCAGAGGAGTGTATCCAGTGCTGTCCACACAGTTTACATTGGGGCCTCTCCAGATGCTGTAAGAACCAGAAATGATTGTTAGACTTCTTTTTGACGTGCAGACGGCAACAAACACTTCCCACTTTACCCAGCAGCTCGATTGCATCACCACCCACCCCTCCATGTCTATGGGTGGGAAGCCACCCTAAAGCAAACCTATTTTCAATGATGAAGCAAGAATGAGACAGAACTGGGTTGACAGCACCAGAAAACAGGAAAACCAGGAAGGGAGAGAGAAACTGCCACCTGGCCCTGGAGAAACACAAGCTTCTGATATGCAGAACTTAGAGCTATTCATGAGGTAAAGTGTGTGGTAACCTACTATTACCCCAGCATTATTCGTCATCTGCAGTGTAACTCAGCTGTCAGTACTGATTGGTTTGGCTTTTCTTTTTATCTGCAAAGAGCACTTTGGTGAGGAAGAAATGGCTATGATGTAGGCAAGCAGGGAGGAAAGCAGAAGAGGAGGGCAGAGAGCGTAATTTAAGAAACCAAAGGATGTCTGGTCAGACAGAGTGCCAAGACGGTATGTAGGGCTGCCTGAAAGACTTCAATAAATCCTAAATAAATCATGTGACTTAGAAATCCCAGCATGAGTGAACCAAATATCTGAGAGCGGATTTAGAGAAAAAAAAGAGATGGTGTTCACCAAAAACCAAAGAAAAATTATATATATATATATATATATATATATATATATATATATATATATATATATATATATATATATATATAATTGAATAAATTGGAATGGTTCTGAATGCTTCCAACATATTGATAACTCATGAAACAGAACTTGAAAAATCTGTTCCAGTATTTTGGAATATCTGCAAACGAAATGTGACTTGATCTCCGAGTTATTCAGCAAGTAAATGAGGAGACAAAAGTTTTCTTAGTGTCCTCGCCTCACTGTGCGACTCTCCTCCCTGAAGAGTAACACACGCGCAGCTCTTTTCTGTCGCAGTAATGGCCGTTTCGCCCCCCCCCTAAAATACATCTCCCACAATAGCTCAGTGAAGCAGCCTGCAATTACACAGCCAGAGCCGTCTCATTAAATAAGTGTCTAGTGTAGGGTTCTGTAGTCTGCAGAACAATGGGTCCGAGAAGAGCAGCAAACACAAGGGGGACTCTCAGCTCCGCCATCTAGAACATAAGCCGTTTATTTCTGTAATCAGGCCTTCTGGGTAACATCTCAGAAAGTCACCAGACATCAAAAGCACTGCTTAGAGGAAACACTCAACAGGGAATAAGTGATTCTAGCAAATGCCAAAGACTGATGAACCTGTGTCACTGAAGGGGGGCAGATTCAGGCGTCATTTCTTCTGAACTTCTAGAAGCAGTAACTTCGATGTGACCATAAATATTATTAGAAGGAAGAACAGTAGGAGACCTCCTATAGCTGTCCCAGATAGAGGAGTTATGTACCTGCTTGGAGTGAAAAGAAAAACATAAATGCAAATTACTATAAGCCAGAAACCATTCGGAAAGAGAGAGTATACCATGAAAGAAGGGGTGGGAGTAATAATAAGAGCAGAGGAAAATCATAACTACTGAGTAGGTTGTTTAATTATTAGGGTTAACTGGCTATCAATGTTATTATATTATAAGAACCAAAAAAATATCCACAACTATTGAAGGGACTAAAGTGGAGCCAGAATGCCTACTCGGCATGGCACTTAAGGATGAAGATCATTATTGCCATAATTATTATAGTTTCAATCATTTCCCTTAAAGGGGGGATCATATCTATTTTAACTGTGAGGCTCCAGTGAGATTACCTATAAAGTTAGATTAAATAAAAAATAATATAATTAACTAACTCCTGGATTTATAAAACTTTCAGGGTGTTATGTTGGAATATCAAAGAACAGTCTGGAAGGCAAGATGGCGGTTTTGTTTTTTTTTCCTAAAAAGTTCATAGAGCAGTTTATGTGTTTAAAACTTGTTCCAACTTCTACCATCAGGTAAAAGGTACAGGTCCCTTCAGAGCCGGACCAAAAGACTGGCCAACAGCCTATACCACCAGGCCATAAGACTCTTGAATCACAGGACTTGAGGAACGGACTACCTAAATTCTGAATTCTGAATGATTTGCCTTATTCATTAGGGCCCCCTTATTATAGTCTGGTTGGGAGCTGTGTATTTATTCTGTGTGTGTGTGTGTGTGTGTGTGTGTGTGTGTGTGTGTGTGTGTGTGTGTGTGTGTGTGTGTGTGCTGGGGGGGGCAAGCATTATGGCACTTAATAATCTTTGCTGCACTATAAGTGGGATGGAGGGGGGGCTGGGGGGGTCAAGCACTGGTGTCACTTTTACCTCTTGTGCACTTTACTTGGAACTTGCTGCTACTAAGTATTGTACCCCAAACACAATTTTGTTGCCTTTTTTTGACAATGACAATAAATTCTTGAAACTGAATTGAAACTAAAGGTCTAAGTGTTTAAAGTAGGGTTGGTTTTCCCGGTAGTAGCTTTGGTTTAATGGTCAAAACCATCCCACCTGTCCAGGTAAACTAAATAAATTATGCAGACCACAAGGTAAACAGAAAAAAAACTCAAGATCTCCAAGATCTAAGTAATAGTTATAGTTATGATTGAAAGTTTTCATACCCTCCTATTAAAGTTAATGTAAAAATTGACAATAGTAACTCAACCAACACAAAACTGAAAATAATATTATAATAATTATAACAAAAATTTACTAAATTAGAATTAAGTAAGATAAAATATTGATTTTTTAATTAAAAAATCTAATAATTATAAAATAATCTCAGACATATAACAGTATCTTACTCATGAAGAGTGAAGCATCAACATATCTGTGCAGAAGTCTGACTGAATATTTCCTGAACATTACAGAAAACCCCTGATTTCAATGATTGCTTCAAAGAGTTGCTCAACTAAATTTATAAATCAGCTGCCCGTTAAAATAAATTGAAATGGAAAGTTTATTTTTTTGGCAGCTGATTTAATGGAAGGGTATGTAAACTTTCCAGCACAACTGTAATTTAGTTTCAACAGAAGTTGCACAGAGGGCTAATCATGTAGTGCGGATAGAAAAAAAAAAAAAACAGATCCAAAACCATGTTGGCTGATATTTAGTTTGATTGGAACAAACTTGATTATTGGCTGGTAGGAGTTTTTGTTTTTTCTTAATTAGAGCCACAGGGTGCATCCACGTCAGGACGTTCACTGATGGAAGAAGACCTATCAGCAGCTAGTTTCAGCATCAGTAGGCTGATAAAAAATGAAACTGAAGAAAGAACAGACTTAATGCTATGTGACATCCTAAGAAATGTCTGCTCTGCATTTATTGATGCAATCAGCTGGTTTTCCTTTGACAGAAAAGTCTGAACCAATCTGATGTTTGATCTGGTTGAATCGTCTCTGTAAAAATGCCTAAATTGAATTGAATTGAATTTAGGGAACGAGAAAGCGTTTCTAAGAAAAGTTCAGGAAACAAAAAACAAACAAAAAAAAACAAAAAAAGTTTTATAGTCTTTGTGAAACATTTGATTAGCAGCAAAAAAAAAAAAAAAACATTTTGTTCTCACTAATTATGTAGCTTCTTTCTTTTTTAGATTGTAAAACAGTTAGTATGGAAGAGGTTAAGGGCCACAGAAAAAATAAAAAAACGTTAACTGATTTTTAAATTTTATTTCAGTTTTATATAGGAAAAAAGTCAGAATTCTGACTTTTTCTCTCAGGATTCCGACTTTTCTCTTAGAATTCAGACTTTTTTCCTCAGAATTCTAAATTTAATCTCAGGATTCTGACTTTTCTCTTAGAATTCAGACTTTTTTCCTCAGAATTCTGACTTTTTTCTCAGAGTTCTGACTTATTCCTCAGAATTCTAAATTTAATCTCAGAATTCTGACTTTTCTCTCAGAATTCAGACTTTCTTTCCTCAGAATTCTGACTTTTCTCAGAAGACTTTTTCCCCATATTAAACTGAAATAACATTTAAAAATCAGTTAACTTTTCTCATTTTTCCAGTGGCCCTAATCCTCTTCCGTACAGTTAGTTGCTGAAATATTCATAAACATTTTTTGTTAGGGCTGAAGCCATTGATCAGATTATTCGACGATTGAAATAATCGTCAACTAATTTAGTAAGCGATTAATTGTTAACTGGAGTAGAGAGACTGAAAAACATGCCTTTAGCTGACAACGTGACCCAATTAGAGTAGTAATTATGCCAAAATTGTAAAAAAAACATAAACATTTTTGCAATTAAGTAAAAAAAAAAAACTTTTTTCACCTTTCAATGTGCTCTATCCAAAACAAGTGGAAACATTTTAGTTTCCCCTGATTTGATTTCGTAAAAAGTCTTCTTTAAAGAATCTTCGGCAATCAGATTATTAATAGATTAATCGCTAAAAATGATTGACAGATTAATCGATTTACAAAACAACCGTTAGTCACAGCCGTATATTTGGTAGATCCAAATTTAAACTTTAATAAATGTTCTAAACTGATATAAACTACGGTATATCAGGGTTTAAGATGTGGTTGATGTATCATCAAGCATGTTGCAAAACTGTTCTAGAAATCTGCACTGACTAATTTCATCAGGTCATTTAGGGCATATATCTATAATGCATTTGCTAATTGGACATCCTTGTTAGAGCTTGTGCTAACATAAGAGCTTGAGAAAAGTTTGCCCAGTGTTCTAAACACTGAGTCGCATCTGTCTGTTGACCAAACAGGAGCAAAGCACGTCATTCAGATCCTATCTTTAATCAGGACCCTTGCTGTTTATTAATCCTATCTTAACTGCTGCCATGCAGAGAAAGTGAACGTTTCATTACGTATTTCCTTACAGTCAAAGTCCTCCTACTTGCTATTAAGACGGCTGCCAGCAGCAGCAGCTTTAAAAAGCTGCATAAGTGTTTCGTCCTTCGAGCATTTTGGCAGCATGGCACTCAAGGGCATGAGTCAGAATGGTGCTCCACAATCCACTTCATCCTCTTACTACGGCTCAAAACCAACCAAACGGAGGGATGGGGCTTAGGCCTGCAG